GCTGGGAGGGGCCTCAGAACAGGGAATGTCAGAGCTGGGAGGGGCCTTAAAGCAGAGAATGCTGGAGTTGATAGATGACTTAAAACAGAAAATCTCAGAGTGTCAGAGATAGAAGAGAGTTGAGAACACAGAAGATCAGGACTCAAGGAATGTCAGAGCTGAGAAGGACCTTCGGGGGTCAGAGCTGGAAGCAGTTGCAATCCAACAAACTTTAGAATATACAAGTCAGAGGAGTATGGGACATCAGAACAATGAATGTCAACATTAGAGGGGTCTTAGATCATCTAATTTAATCCACTCATTTTACAGAGAAGGAAACCAAGGTCTACAGAGGAGAGGTGACTTATCCATGGTCGCATAGCTGGCTGGGGTCTGAGTTTGAGCCACAACCAGTATTCACATCAGTACATTCCAATGGGTCCCAGTCCATTCCATCCTCTTGGACCTTGCACTGGTCCAAGCTGGCAGGACTCCATCTGAGTGCCCTCCATGCTCCCAGAGGGCAGCTCTGGCCCTCTGGCATGTCCTCCCTACCCCCAACAGCCCCTGTCACACGCTCAGTGCATGGTGACAGGCAGACAGACTCACGTACATCGCCGGGCGGATTCCTGGGCCAGCTCAAGCCGATAGATGGAGAGTCTGTTGACACCACCACATATGTTGCTCCTCTCGCCCTTGCACTCCATGTTGCATTCAGCCTGGCTTGCATTTTCCCCCTGGATCTTGTGGCCACAGAAGCACTCGGCACCAAACTCTAGCCCGGCATACAGGTAACCCCTAGGGAAGGGAACATGGGTGTACTCAGGTGGATAGACCAATAGCAGGGGCGTCCATCACCCCACTGGGGAGACTGAGTCTTGGTGCCTCATTCAGGAAAGGAGTAACAATGGAGATTATGAAGTTTGCATCTCCTTCTCTTTGGGGGCTCTTGGGCAACCCCTTGCTCCCATATAGTTCCACCCTTCATCTTCCATTCTCAGCCTCTACACTGTCCTACAAGCTTGGAGCTATGATTTTGCTGCTAGAATACCTGAATGAATGAAAAAGCATTTATTTAATGTCTACTATGCACCAGGCCTTGGGCAACTGGAGATGGTCCCTGCTCTGAAGGAGAAAGGAGAGAATGCTGGTGAGTCTGGTAGCTAGGAAGCAGCTGTGATGAGCTTGGGGGCACCAGAGAAGGTCGTCATAAGCTGCAGAGGGTCCAGTAGGGTGAAAGGCCTTGAGTTCATGTCAACTGATGATGGATTAAAGGAGCTGGGGGAAGGCAAGCTTGGAAAAGAGAAGGCTCAGGGGTGACATAAAAGCTATTTTCAAGGATTTTAAGGACAATTTTGTGGACGATGGGTTAGTCTTGTTTGACTTGGCTGCCCAAGGACAGGGCAAACCAAACAAAAAAAAAATAATTAAAACCAAAGACAAAAAAATTGAAATGAATAAAAAATATACTTTTACTGGTTAGAAGTAGGAATGAAGAAAATTTAGGTTGAATATGAGGAAAAAATCTCTAATGATTAGAACTGTGCCAAAGCAGAACACGCTTTCTTGAGAGAGGTGCTGGCTTCCCCTTCCCTGGAGGTCTTCAAGCAGAGACAGTCTGACTGTTGGTTTGACATGTTGCAGAGAGAACTCTTGTTTGGGGATGACTTGGTCTAGATGGCCGTGGAAGTCCCTTCCATCTCTAAAACTCTGTGATTCTCTGATAGTAGATACAGCACCAGTCCTGAAGTCAGAAGACCTGGGTTTGGATGTGGCCCCTGCCATTTACCATTGGTGGGATCATTCTTGGGTAAATCATTTCCTTCTCTACAAAATAAAAGTATCAGACTAGGTGAATTCTAATGTGTCTTGGAGATCCCAATCCTCTGATCTCTCTCAAGCTCTTTAGTCCAAAGGAGATGTTGAAGGGAGGAGGCAATGACATGAGAAAGATGAAGAGAGAGGGGTGATTAATCAGATTTGGAATACTGAGTCTCACAGTGGGGAGACAGACAAAAATGCGAACTGGCCTCAAGGAGCTTACATTCTATGGAAGCTCTTCCCTTTACAAAATGTTTCCCAGCATTCTCTCCTTGAGAAGGTTGCCTAGTTTAAAGGGTCTCTAGTCTTGATAATAATTTTATTATATTATTACCATTATATATTACTACATATAGTATATATTGCTATTATAATATATTTTATTATTACTATTATTGCTTTGTTCTTTATGTAACACCTTCAGGTTTGCAAAATGCTGTATAAATATTACTTCAGGATATAAATAAAATATAAAGGACATAAAAAGCTTCTCAAAAACTCAGCATATATAAAAAATAAATAATTTATTTATCCTTACAAAAACTCTCGAAGGTAGATGCTATCATTTGCCCCATTTTACTGAAGAGAGAACTGAGGCACAGAGAGATTAAGTAATTTGCCCAGAGTTACAGTGCCAGTTAAGTGTCTGAGGCTGGATTTGAACTCAAGTCTTGTGGACTTCTGATCCAGAGCCCAGTGAAAGCTTGAGCAGAGAGGGTAAACTAAGAGGAAGGCAAAGAATTTCAGTTTTAAAGATGGAAAAACTTAGGCTCAAAGAGAAGACAAATTGGGCCAGGAAATCTTCCACCTCTATTCTCACCTCCCTAAAGAAAAAACAAAGTTCTATTTCATGGTCTGAATTGTTCAGATAGAGTACTGGAATCCACAAGAAAACTTTCCAATTTCCACTTTTCTTTGGGTACTGTATATTTGGCCTGAGATGTGGGTCCTCCGTGATACCCCAAGGGCTTGGGTGAGGGAGTACAGACCATATCATTTTAGTTTTTGCATCTTCAGCACCTAGGACAGCACCTGTACTAGTGGGTGATTATTGACTCCTTGTTGGTTGGTAGATTCATTTGGAGCCCGAGGACCTGGATTCATATCCTGACTCTGCTGCTGTCCAGTTGTGTGATTCTGAGCAAGGCCCTTCCCTTCTAGCTGTGAAGCATCCAGGTGGCTCAGTGGATAGAACATCAGGCCTGGAGTTAGGAAGACCTGACTTCATAGCCATAGACACTAACTGTGTGACCCTGGGCAGGTTACTTAACCTTTGTCTGCCTCAGTTTACTCTACTGTAAATGGGATAATAATATCACCTAGTTCACAGGGTTGTTGCAAGGATCAGAGGGGATATTTGTAAAGTGCTTAGCACAGTGCCTGGTACATAGTAGGTGCTTAATAAATGCTTGTTACCTTTCTCTTCTCTGGAGCCTCAGCTTTCCCTTTTGTAAAGTCAGAGGGAGGGTAAATGAGTTGCTCTCTTAGTTTTCTTTCAGCTCTAAATCCTAAGATCTTATGAACCCATTAATTTGGTTCAAAACAACAGTCAATAATTCAATTCAACCTTGTTATTTGGATCATAGATTTAGAGCTGACAAGGACATCAGAGATCAGGGGCTCTTACCCATCTTTGTTCCCCCTTTGGTGATCAGACTGATGAAACCTAAGGTCCCCTTCTCAGAAGCATGTTTTTCAATGCATGAAATAAACTACACAGAATTACAAAGGCAACCAATTGGGTTCATGGACCATTTGAAACCTATTCATGGACCTCAGGTTAGGTCCTTGGTAGTCTGTCCCCCTCCCCTTTTAAGACAGGTGGAAATAGTCCCAGAGCAAGACAAGGACTTCCCAGGATCATACAGGTAATGAATCAGAGATTCGGGCTCCTCGGACCCTCAGATCCAGTGTCCTTCCCACCACACAATTATCCTCTGGGTAGCATGCCAGCTGTTCTTGGTGCCTTTTGGAAATGGCTGAGAGAAGAGCTAAATCTCCTTACCACCCTCTATCCTCCACCATCATTTTCCCTGGAATGGCACTGGGGCTCCCTGCTTCCTACAACTTCTCCCCTGGGCTTCCTCTCCAATGCTACCTGGAACCTGGCCCCACAGTGTGAGTACTGAGCGGGTGATTTACTGGGCCACAGCTGAAGGAAGCATCACTTTACAAGAAAAAAGGCCTCACAGGTGTGATAGATCATAAGGCAAGAGGCAGCCCCATTACTTAGAGGCAGGAAGGATTGTGCCTTTGTTGGAGGTGAATTAGGAAATGATGGAGGCCCTGTGACTCTCCAAGGAGGGAAACTGTGAACTTGGGCACCAAGCAGGGCTGGGGATTGACTGTCACCATGAGAGGAAGGGGTCATTCTGCCTGACCCCAAGGAGTTTGGCCTCAGGGGATCGAAGGAGGAAAGCTGCAGCGCTCAGAAGTGGGATGGGCATAAAGTGGAAAGATCTTGAGATATAGAGTCAGAGGACCTGGGCTTGAATCCTGCCTTGTCTACTTACCACTGTATGCCTGCTCTGGGTCTCAGTTTCCTTTTCTATAAAACAAGGGCGGGGGGAGATCCTTTCTGGCTCTAAATCTATGCCCCTATGATCTGAGTGGGCAATTTCAGGAGGAAGTGGCTCCCTCCCTCATGGAAGATGAATCTAGACTAGATGGCTACTTGTCAGGGAGTATAGAGAGGGGATTTTTATTCAGGTACAATTTGGACTGGGGAGTAAGGATGGCCAAGTGGGCAGAGCGTTGGACTTGTGGTCAGGAACCTGCCTTCTAGCTATATGATTCTGGACAAGTCATTTCATTTCTCTGGGCCTCAGTTTCCTCACCTGCAAAATGGGGATAATAATAACACCTATCTCACCGGGTTATTGGGCAGTTCAAAGTCTCCTTATGGCATCCATAATGGATGTCAAGTGCTTTGGAAACCTTGCAACAGTAAGTAAACGTCCACTATTATGATAATTACTGAGGGAGTGCATGGCATAGTAGATATTGAACTGGTCTCAGAAAGACCCAGGTTCAAGTCCTGCCAATGGCACACACTGACTGTGACCCTGGACAAGTCACTAATTGCTGATGGGTCCAGACCTGTATCTCCCTATGGGAGAGGCCTTTCATCTTTGGACTGCCCCCAATGGTAACTGGTAAGGAGGGAAGGTAATAATTTGCATAGATTCGGGGTGGGAACTGGGGGAGGCAGAGGCTTTACATAGACCTTGTTTGACCCCAGAGACCTTGGTCTGGGACTCTCAGGACTGGATCAGGGAAGTATCTGAGCAAATGGAAGCTGTCAAGAGAGGAGTCATAGATTCCTAGAATCAGAGAACAGAGAATGCCAGAGTTGGGAGGGACCTTAGAACATAGGAGGTGAGAGCTGGGAAGGAGTTTAGAATACAGAATTCCAGAGCTGGAAGGGGCATTGGAACAGGGAAATGTCACAGTTGGGAGAGACTTTAGACCAGAGAATTTCTGGGAGGGACATTAGAACATAGAATATCAGAGCTGGGAGGGGCCTTAGAACAGGGAATGTCAGAGCTAGGAGAGCCTTAGAATAGGTAATGTGAGAGCTGAGAGGAACCTTAGAACTGGGAATGTCAAAGCTGGAAGAAGCCTTAGAACAGAGAATGTCTAAGTTAAGCTAAGAAGGGTCTTAGAACAGGGAATGTCAGAGCTAGAAGAGGCCTTAAAACAGAAAATGTAGTTAGGAGAGGCCTCAAAATGTGAACTGTCAGAACTGGAATGGGGCTTAGAACAGAGAACGTCAAAGCTGGGAGAGAATATAGCACAATGGACCCTTAGCATGTCAGCATTAGGAGAGAGCTGGAGTGGTGCAGTGGAAAAAGATTTCGAATCATGGAACCAGGCTTGAAATCCTGTTACTCTATTCTATATTTCTGGCTATTCTAAAATCCCAGTTATTCTATTTATTACCTATATGACCTTGGACAAAGCCATTTGACCTTAGTATCTTCATCTGTCAACTGAGGGCGTTGGACGAGACTCCTCTATAGGCCCTTTCAGCCCTCAGTCTATGATCCTAGAACTTAGAATGTCAGAGAGAAATGAACACTCCACCACTTTTTCAGTTGACACATGGGGAAAGGCAAGCTGAGAGAGGGAAACCGGGTTGCCCAAAGCGAGTGAGAGCTAGAAGGAGAACACAGGTCTGCTGCCTTTCGGTTCTGGGTTTGAGTCATTCTCTCTTTTTAGCCAGGGCAGAGCCCAGAAGGGATCTGCCCAAAGTGGCCAGGTTGAGATGCCCCCCTTTTTCTCCTCCACAGGAGGCTCCTGGGCCGGCTGGTCCCCACCTCCCTCCCGATTCTGTCCTTTGATCTAAGGAGCAGCCGGGGTTGCCTCCTCCAGCTCCTCCTTCAGAACTCGTGCATTTAGAATTCTCCCTCTGACCCACCATCCTTTACACGTCCAGGGCTGCTGTCTTGAAAGACAATTCTTTCCCCTCAGTGAACTATTTTTAATCATGAATATCATTTTCATTTTGGATGAGAAAGCTGTGTCTAGCCAGGTGTCTGCCTTTCATGGGAAGAAATCCTCAAACACTCACACACACAGATACTCACACACCTCCACATATGCTCAAGGGCCCCTACAACTGCACGCTAACAGTTTTAAACACACATTCCTTCTCTTTTACCTACTTCCAGGGCTGTCTGTTGTAAGGATCAAATGAATGAATACTTGTATTAATTAATTAGCACATTGCCTGGCACATAGTAGATACTTAATTAGTGTTTGTTCCCTTCCTTTCCTTTACATACATGCACTCACCTGGGCACAATCATATAGCCCCCAAACACTTTCTTGCCTGCACATATAAGCACAGATTCACACACACTGTGTCCTTACACCTACATGCCCTCATCCACATGCACCCTTGCTCATATGCTCCCCTACACTACATTCACATACAATCCTACATGCATACATTCATGTTTTCCCATGCATACACAGCTCTTCTACACCTAAAAACATACTCAGATGCATGAGACCAAACACCCTAACAAACACACACTCATTGTAATAGGGAAGCCTTCTCTAGCCCCTCTGTTCTAGCATGAAATATGCCCTCTGTAAATTGCTTTGATATATGATTTTAAATTCTTAACCCTGAAGAAAGAAGTTGAGGCTAATAACCAAGTCACAAGGCTGACTTTTGAAGTACTTTGGAATAAATAATAAAAAATGAAGAAAAACTCCCTCTATTTTCTTCCTGATCAAACTGCAGGTTGCATTCAATCAGTCAATCATAAACATTTATTAAGCACCTATTATGTGTCAGGCACTGTGCTAAGTGCTGGGGATACAAAAAGAGGCAAAAGATAGTACCTACCCTCTGAGTGCTTTCAACCTATTAGAGGAGATCACATGCAAACAAGGTACACAAAGCAACCTACCTACAGGGTAAATAGGGAATAATGAATGAACTGAGGGAAGGCACTAGAATTAAGAAAGGTGGGGTAAGGCTTCAGGTAGAAGGTGGGATTTTAGTTGGGCCTTAGGTGTTACGGCCAGTGGGCTGGACTTGAGTTTGATGCTAGCCTTAGGCACAGAGTGGCTATTTGACAAGGGTCAATTCCCTTAACCTTTCTAAACCTCAACTGTGAAATGAGCTAATAGTGCCTATTTCTGAGGTGGTTATGAGGATCATAGACATGGTGCTAGAAGGGGCAGTAGAGAATAGGTCTAGGTCTTTATTTTACAGATGAGGAAACTGAGGCCAAATGAGTTACTGCATGCAAAGTGCTTCAAAAACCTTTAAAACCCAATAGAAGCATTGGCAGTTACCAATATTTTCAAGCTGTTTTGCCAAAGAATCCTCTTTTCTCTCCCCCTCCACCTGATTTTTTCCCCTTCTTCAACATCTTGGCCAATTTTAAGCCTCAATGTTCCCCATGAGTGGGTTGGGAATGGGGTCAACAGATAATGCTTATGACCCTAAAGAGGTAGGGTGATGCAGTGGATAAAATATTGGACATGGAGTCAGCAAGACTTGGGATGAAGTTGTACTTCACTTACTCATTAATTTTGTGACCCTGAGCAAGTCACTTAACCTTTTGTGCCTCAGTTTCCTCATCTGTAAAATGAAAAACTTGGACTTCATGGCCTCTTAGTTCCTTTCCAACTCTAGATCTAGGATCTTCTGACTTTGTTTCCCCACCAAAGATCCAAAGAAAGATCGAGAGAAAAGGTAAAAACTGGGGGAGGTGAATTTTTTTCTGTAAATGTAATAAACGATGATGATGATGATGATGACTAGCATTTCTATGGCATTTTAAGGATTGCAAAGCACTTTACGTTTAATATTTCATTTGATCTTCATGACAACCCCATGAGGTAGATGCTATTATTATTATCACTCTCATTTTATAGATGAGAAAACTGAGTCTAAGAGAATTTAAGTGACTTAAGGGTCACACAGCTGATAAATATCAAAACCAGGATCCAACCCAGTTTTCCAAATCCAAGACTCTCTGTCCTCTGTGCCACACTATCTCCAATGAGTCCAATTAGGGAGGTGGAATAGGGCTTAGAATAACTGACCCACACAGGGCTAGAAGTCATCACTCTTGGGCCACTGTTTCCTTTATGGACCTGCATCCCAATGATCAGCACTTTCACTGGTGGGTTCAGTAATGGACCAGAAGCCAGATTCCCTGCGGGCCTGACAGATTCAGTCTCCAAAGGGAATTGTCCATTTTCTAATGCACCTTGGCACAGGGCCAAGAAGTGGCTAATTATGTCCTAAGACCTCATCTTCATACATTTGGTATCGGATTTGTAAGTTTCTTGGACTGGCTCACTTTTGTTTGTCTGAGGTTGCCAGGAGATCACCTGTTTTGACAGTATTTGCTGCTGGATGGTGTGGAGGACCAGTAAGCCCCCTGGAGCGCCTGATTGACTTGCACATACCCATGCACTCCCTTTAGACCCCACATCCACACCTCCTGCGCCCCTACACCTGCACACTCCAAGCCCCCCACAGACAGAAAGGCAAAGAGCACCAAGTGGGGGAAGATGGGCTGGGGATGAAGGGGCATCATCAGGGGCAGCTGGTCTTGTGTCCCACCCTACCGCTCAGCACAGCTGTCCTGGCAGCGGAAGACTGTCATCTTCTTGTAGTCAAAGAAGGATAATCCTCGGAGGGCCCGTCTGCTGGGGTTGTCCAAGTAGCAGCCGACGTATTTTGCTGGGGGGAGAAAAAACAGACCCAGCTGAAGATGAAGCTTAGTGGGGAAAGAAAAACTGCCAAGAACAATCTTGACATTGGTTTCAGGAATGCCCAAAGAGAGATGGATTTGGATGGAGTAAGTGGACCCAGCTTTGACTCTGATACCTCATGCTTGGATGACTTTGGGTATCTTTGGGCAAGTCTCTGACCCTCCCTGGGCCTCAGTTTCCTTGTTGGTAAAATGAGGAAATTGGAAATGAGGAAATCCACCTCTACATCTAGGCAAGAGAGGACAATGGAAAGAGCATTGATTTTTGAGCCACAGGAAATCAGAAGACTTGGGTTCACTCTACTGCTTTCTATCTGTGTGACCTTGGGCAAATCACTTAATTTTCCTGGGTTCTTCATCTGTCCAATGATAGGGATGAACTATATGGACTCTAAGGACCCTTTGAGATCAAAATCTCTGAATCTTCATTTTTACCTTGATGCCACCTCCTCCATCCAGTGAAGAAACCCAAGAGCAGAAGTAAGAGAAGTAGAGTCATCTTGGAGAGTGGTTTGCTCTCTGCAGGTGGGCAGAATGGGCAGTAGTGGGTAGAAAGGAAAGAAGCTTTAGACTTGGGGTCAGAATGAAGTCCTACCTTGGTGTTCAAGCACAGGTTAGATGAACATTTGTCAAGTATGTTGTTTTGGGAATTTCTTTCAGGTATTTTCCTGAAGCACAGGATTGCCCATATCACTCCCCTTCTCAATAAATCCCAGTGGCTTCCTATTATCTCTCGGATCGAATATATAAATTCCTCTGTTTGGCATGTAAAGCCCTTCACAACTTGGCCCCAACCTACCTTTTCAGTCTTTTTATACATTACATTCCTTCATTTTCCCTATAGTCAAGTCCAACTAGCCTTCTTACACTTCCTTATACATGGAAGTCCATTTCCAGACCCTATGCCTTTGCCTAGGCAGTTCCCAATGCCTAGAATGCAGTCCCTCTTTATCTTTTAAAATTCCTAGTCTTCTTTGAGATTTGGCTCAAGTACCATGCTACATTAGTCCATTCTAGATCCCCTCAAATCAGGACTTTTCAACTTGAGGTCTTGAATTTGTTAAATATATATGTATGTATGTATATATGTATGTATGTTTTAATATATATTATATCATATAATTATATTAATTATATAATTATGTTATATAATATTACATATATATGTATATATAAAACTTTCAAAATAATTAGTTTCCTTTGTAATTGTATGTATTGTTTTATGCATTTAAAGCCATGATTCTGAGAAGGGGTCTATGGGCTTCACCAGACTGCCAGAAAGGGGTCCGTGATGCAAACAAAGTGATGAATCCTTGCCATAAGTGCTGGAGCCTCCCCCTGTCTCTGACAATCACTCTGTATTGGTTTTCATATACATGCACATTTTCCTTCTGATAGAAGAGAAGCTCCTTAAGGACAGAAACTATTTAATTCTGTCTACGGATTTCCAAAGACTAGCATTTAAAGCTCTTCATAAGCCACCTTCTTACAATGGACTCTCCTCCCCATACTCACTGCATCCTGGGCCATCTCCAGTCATCCTGATCAATATCTGACCACTGGACCCAGATGGCTCTGGGGGAGAAAGTGAGGTTGGTGACCTTGCGCAGCCCTCCCTCACACTTGCCTGTCGTGGCAACACCTTCCTAATGTCACAGTCCTCTTCGAGATGGAAGGATACACAACTACAGTAATAACCTGACTATTTCTCACACACCACATTCCATTACCTTATCAAAGGCTGTCCCCCATGCCTGGAATGCTCTCTCTCTCCTCACCTCCACTCTTACCTTCCCTGGCTTCCTTCAAGATGTGGCTCAAATCCTGCCTTCTGCAGGAGGCCTTCCTTGCATCCCCAGCTTCTTCTACCTCGCCCTTTGAGATTATTTTCATTATTCTTGATGGCTCAGTGTATAGAGAACCAGGGCTGGACTCAGGAAAACGAGTCCATATCTAGCCTCATACACTTACTAGCTGTATGACCCTAGGCAAGTCACTTCACCCTGTTTGCCTCAGTTTCCTCATCTGTCAAATGAGATGGAGAAGGAAATGGCAACTTACTCCAGTGTCTTTGCCAAGAAAACCCCAAATGGGGCCATGAAGAGTTGGATGTGGCTGAAAAATGACTGAACTACAACAAAAAATATTGACGTGTTATCTCCCTTATTGCTTCTTAAGGGCAGGGATTTCATTTTTGCCTTTCTTTGCATCTCCAGTACTTAGTATAATCTCTAGCACAAATTTAGCACTTGTTAAATATTTATTGACTGACTAATTGATGCTAAATGGCTGCTGAATTCCCTTCAAGTCTAGATTCTGTGATTCTGGCTTTGCCACTTAGTACCTATGTGAATTCAGGCAGATCCTTTCTTCTTTCTGAGCCTCAGTTTATTCATCCATTAAATGGGCAATTGAAATGCTTGAACTATCAGTTTCATAGCATTCTTGCAAAGAAAGTGCTTGATGAACTGCGGCACCATAGATATGTACATTAGCATATTGTTTTTATTATCAAAATCAGTTAACAAGTACTTATTAAGCACCTCCTGTGTCCCAAACCCTGTGCTAGGGGTGGGGATACAAATGCAAAGAATGAGATAGTCCCTGCCCTCAAGGAACTTACCTTCTACTGGGGGAGGCAACATGTATTCATGGAGGTCTATGTAGGATAATTGTTAGGAAAGGAGGGGGTCAGCAGGCATGGGGAATAAAGAAGTGTTCATGCAGAAGGTGGTGCTGAGCTGCATATTGGAGGAAGAGAAGGACTCTATGAAGTGGAGGCAAGGAAGGAATGCATGGCGGCTGACCAAGTCAAAGGCATGGGGATGGGAAATGGACTACTGTGCATGCTGTTGTTCAGTCGTTTCAGTTGTATCCAACTTTTCATGACCCCATTTGGGGTTTTTGCCAGAGATGCTGGAGTGGCTTATCATTTCCTTCTCCAGCTCATTTTACAGATGAGGAAACTGAGGCAAACAGGGTTAAGTGACTTGCCCAAGGTCACATAGCTAGTAAATGTCTGAGGCTGGATTTGAACTCTGGTCTTCCTGAGCACTCCATTCATTGTACCACTTAGATGCCCCATGAAGGGCAGTCGCCTATTGTGCATGAGGGACAGAGAAAAGGACAGTACGGTTGGATTGTATGTAGTATGGGTGTGACCTAAGGCTATTTCAGGAATGACAATGATAGATCTAATTGCCAGCTCAAAAAGTTTCAGGATGTTTTCCCAGGGCCCAGACTTAAGTCTATCCACAGAAGAAAAGAAGTAGTCTCAAATGAGTTACAGGCAGTAAAATAATAATGCCTCCCTCTCCTTCCCCAGGACACATCCCTCCTCACTGCTTTTGTCTACTCCTGGGACATTCTCTACTAATGTCCAAGCAGCTATTAGCTTCAGCTCATGCGTAGCCAGGCCTGCCCCTCCTAGCGCTCTGCAGAAGGAAGAGGTCTCTAGGAAGGCTTGCATCTAATCAATCAGTCAAGCAGTAAACATTTATTAAGCTCCCACCATATGTCAGGCACTGTGCTGAGAGGGAGGGCTACCTGTAGAGCACTGGCTGCCATGCTGGGCTGAGGAGTCAGTATCTCTGGTACTCAGCTGTGTGACCAAGGGCAAGTCCCTTCATTTGGCTGAGCCTCAATTTACCCCTTTGCAAAATGAAATTAATCATACCTGCACTCACTACCTTCAGGGCTGTTATGAGGTTCCTGAGAGAAGATGGATTGGAAAATACTTTACAAACTTTAAAGCATCATAAATGTCAGTTGTTCAATGGGGCTATGCTTTGGCTCCCAGAGATGTTTTCTAGACAATGACCAGCACATGACTGCTATTATTTTTCTCCAAAGGTCCTATTACTCTTACTTAACATTTATGGACAAACAGAGCCCATCTCCCACCTCTTGGCCTGATTTTATAGTCCTAACTGGCCTTCCTTTCCCCCTTCTCTCTGATCTTTAGGGGAAAGAAGCATCCACATGGTGGGTCTTTCAGGCTCACAGGCAAAACCCTCACGTGGGCTGGTCCCTTCCTTTCATCCCCTGCATCATGGCCCATTGTCTTTCAGGAATCACTCCAGACAGGACCATCAAACAACACTTGACTGGCAGCCCTGTTCCTCCCAGCGTGCAGGAGACAGACACATTCTGAAGCTATTAACCCAGCAGATCCAAAGAAGTCTGAATTTGAGAGATTTTCCTGTCTTCCTGGGCTATCATTGCAGCTCTTCTGTGCCAGACCTGTTCTTGTTTGGGACTAACCCTCCGACATCAATTTCTCACCCTTGATCCTTTAAACAGTGGTATGGTTTGCAAGGGTTTATTTAATAATGATATCTTAAAGTATTGAGAACCCAGAGAGCATTGGAGTTGTAAAAGACAGAACAGAGAATGTCAGGGCTGGGAGGGGCCTTAGAACAGAGAGTGGCAGAGTTAGAAAATTGGATGGCAGAGTTGAAGACCCTAAGAACACTGAATGATAGTACTGGAAAGGACCTTAGAACACAGAATTTTGAAGACTCTTATTTCAGATATCTATATGAAAGATTATAGAGGAATTTAGCCTTTCTACATATAATTCTAAAATGATCTTAGTGAGTCACTAGATTGAATAATGGCCAAGAAATACAACAAGAAACATATAGAAGCTCCTCTTCCAGCCCGGTACATGACAAAAAGACAGCCCAAAGCTATGAGCATCAGACAAAGCGTCCTGCCAAGAAAGCCAATTGGAGCTCAGGTGAATTGGCTGGAAGCCCACAGTAGCATGCATATTGAGGAGACTGGGAAAGGCTAAAGCTGGGAAGAGGCTTAGAGCAGCTGAGAAATGCCCAGGTTGGGGAGGATCCAAGGGTAATGGAAACCCCAAGCAGAGCCCAAACTGAGGAAGCTCATGATAGCATTCTTACCAGAACAGCTAAGGACAGAACTCTGATCAGGGACATTAAAACCCACTAGTTCTCTGAAC